GGGGAGTGGTTTGTATTCCAGCTGGCTGTGACAAGGCCTGAAGAGGATTGGGAGCTCCTCCATCCAACAGGACTTAGCTTGGGAGCTGCAGTACTTTTGCTCTTCTGGTGCACTGCCTGAATCTTGTAAACAAAGTGCGGACGACAAGAGGATTTGTATCATGGAGTCAATGGCATAAGTAATAGCTAGGAGAGATACTGGTGTGCTGTTCAGTGGATACACTCTCCTCCTTGGGATTGTCAAGGAAATCATAACAGAGCGAAAAGAATGAAGTACTGTTTGTATTTCAAAATTGTTTTTAAACATTCATGTGCTAGACCTCAACTAAGAGGAAGAAATATATATACTTAAAAGGACACAGAAAATTCAGGAAGATAGTAATGCATTGCGTGGATGGGAAATTGAGTACAATTTTTGAATGAAGAAAGCCTAGTTAAGTATATTAAGCATCTGACTAGCATTACTATCGGACCTAAGTAGATAAGAAGACTTAGCAAGAGATGGTATATGCTTTGGCATAAGTTGATATTGGGGAGGCTTGTGACTGTGTTGAGAGATTTTTTGAAGTAGGCATGTCTGTCAACGTTGCATTCGTTTTCTGAAGTTTGGCTAGTAACTGTTATGCAAGACATAAATATCAGTATAGGTTACGAAGATAAATTTGCTGTGGCATGGGTTATTTGGAGAAGATAATCTCATTCTCTTTCCCCTTAAAATTCCACATTTTTCTGAATTCCAAATTTTGTTTTTTAGTGTGAAAAGCACTGTGTGTTACTGATGGATTGCCTCAGTCTGGTGTAAGCCAGCAGGCTGGTGTCTCTGCATCGAGCCCCACTGTGTTGTGCAAGCTCCATGTGTGGGCTTTAAACCTTTCTGCTGTCTTTGAAGTAGACATTCTTTTTCATCTGTTTTACATATGGAAGACTGCTATATAGGCTGATAATGTGTCTTTGCTCTCTGAAAACTCAGTAAATAATGTCAGAGACATGAGAAGCATTCCACATTGCACTGTTTTCTAGCTTTAGAGTGTATTTCGTCTAAGGTAGTCTGTTAACATCAAATACAAATTGCATCAGAGACCAAGCTGAGAAGAACAATGTTGTTCCATGCTGTAGCAGTAAAATCCTTATTGACATTGTCCTTGGAGCCCTGTTGCATTATTTCTGTTTTGCCTTTGGATCGTTACTTATTTGATAGACCAGTCGTTCACCTCCATCTTCCTGCTTTTTCATGAAGTGAGGAGCACTGCACTGAAAGGTGGTGCAGACTTGTCATTCTCTGAGGAGTTAAGAAAAAAGCCCCATACTTTTATCCCTTTTATGCTGGATTCTTTTCTGAGTTTTGCATTTTGCTGTGTTTTATGCCACAGCAACCACCTTCATCATGTGGGTGTCCTTTGCTTTGATTTTTAACCATCCTTGAAGGCTGTTTACTTTTTCATGTGCTCCCTTGCTATGAAAACTTTTTCTTAAATAACCTGACATAATGAAAAGTTATTTAAAACCACAAGCAGGCATTAGCTCTTTGTTTCTTTTAAATTTTTTTATATCTTTGGAATTACACTGTTTCCATAGTACAAAGAGAGAAGGCAGAAGTGGTATAAGATCAAAGCGTCCACTGTTTCTATTTTTTGAACATAATCCCTGGATGATGCACCGTGGGCTAGCTGGAAATTTGATGTTTATTGACTCTGCCATCTAAGAGAAAAAAGAAAATGGGTAAAAACAAAAATAGTAATTGGAATAGTTCCTGTGGAGCAAAGCTGTCAGGAAGCAGATTGATTCAGCAGTGGCAGAGTTGCTTTATTGATTGTAAATCCTTAGTAAATTAAAAAGAGGACAAAGTGTGTTAATCTTTTGTGTGCATGTGCGTGTAACAGTGACAGTTTAGAATGTTCTGCCAGGATAAAGACACATACAGGAGTGTGGGAATGTTACCTACTCCAGTCAGTAACAGGCTTTCAGAGATAAGAACATTTATTCAAAAACTCTTCTGGGCTAAATGTTCTTACTGTACTGTAAACAAAGGATGGAAGAAGTGCTCTTTTTTTGGGATTTTTTAAGCATTCAGGTGCAGTTATTCTAGATAAAGGAATGAAGCATAGGAGTTGGATTAATTTTCTTCAGGTATTCACAGTGTGTTCCTTAAGCTTGATTCTCTGTATGAATTGCTATGTCAAATTTGTTGTTAGTTTAAAAAGTGCAAAACTTTAATATATTCTAGATGAGGATTTCTGCATCATAAACAGAAGTCAGTTTTGGATTTGGATTTTTGACTCTTCCAATTACTGCTAATTACTCGATGTCATTGCCCATTTGCAAGTAAATTAATCCTTTATTTATATTTTCTTCCCCTAATCATCACAGCTTGTCATAAGGATGAAATTCATTTAGAAAGGGAGCAGCTACACAGTGTGAGATAATAATGTGGAATCTTTTCCTCCACAGACAAGTAAGGAGCAGACACAGAGCTGGGATCTGGTGCTGGTGAGGACTAGATTTGCCAGATATTCCATAGATAACCTGCTCTTTACCCTCAAATTCTGCACCATCAGAAATTTTGTTTCATGTATTTCTTGCTGTCTTAGCATAACTGAAAGTCAGCTGGGAGGGCATGTTCTCCGCATTCACTGTGTATTCTCCTGCCACTTCTGCCTGAAAATCCAGCTACCAGGGATAGTTATCTGGCTTCTCATTCCCAGTGTGCTATTACAGAGCACTCTGAACCTCTGCCATTTTGGATGCACAGCTGTTAAGATGACAGGGTTTGAGGAGCACCTTCTGTGAAGAGTTGATGGGGTAAAAGGAATTGGAGATGCATGAGGTAGAACGGTGGAGAAGGCAGGGAGCTGGAGAAACTGTTTCCCACTGCTTCATGTAGAGTTCCCAGCCTGGACAGAGAATGGAGAGGAAATGAGATCCTTTTCCAGGCCTTGGGGGTATATGGGATCTGGAAGAGTAGGGGACCCCATAGAGGTCTCCCTGTTGACTCTTGGCAGAAGTGCAGTTCTTGAACACTGTCTGCAATGACAGAGCTTTGTGGTTACTGCTGATCCAGAAGGAGGGGTTGTGGTGCCTGAGCTTCCAGGAGGGAAACTGGACGGAGTCTCATGTTCAGTTTATTCTGCCATACTTCAGAAGAACCCAGTCTTTATCTTGTCCCTTACACTTGTCCCTCAAGAGCAATGAGCCAGAGAAGCAAAAGACATCTCACTCATTTCATCAGACCACTTCATTGCCCACTTCTCTTCTTTTCATGCTTTTCCTTACTTGCTGGTCCTGATGAGTTACTCTCTGGTTTCTTTGCATTGCCAGATAGCTACATCTTTTTACAGATGCTTTATGCCTACTTGTGCTTTATGGGTTGGCCTCCCCATAAGATCTGTGAAATCACTGTGTTTTCTTCTCCTTCACTCCATGCTTCTTTGAGGATAACTAGAAGAAATTGCCAAGTGCAAAGGAAGGAGGATATTAGGAAGTGGCTGCCAGTCATCTATTTGTGTAGGTACTAAATTGTTTCATAATCATTAATCAGGACTTATAGATAGGATTTATTCCTGTTCGTTTTATCTCTCCTTCCCTTTCAGCCCCACCGTTTATCTTCATCATTTCTTGCTTTAAATTTAGATAGCTCAACAGGAGAAGCTGTTTCACTCTGTGTGGGTGGTACTACAGTGTAAATTATTTTTTTTTCCCTAAGAATGTAAATGCTATTGTAGTTTGCTCTAGTGTGCACAACATTAAATAGTAAATGTTGTACGTGGTAATTTGTAGGGTTGAAAAGTCTTGCTTATTCAGTTTCTGTCTTGCTGGGTTTTTTGTGCTGAGTGAATGATCATTGCACTACTGTTTTTGTTAAATGCATCTGTATGCAGAAGCAGAACTGTTTGTTTCCATTTGTTTCAATCTGGCACACTGTAGTAAGTGTCCTTTTAAGCTGCGTACTTACTAGGTTACAAATCTGGTGGGAGCACTATCATGGTGCTGATTCTCTGATGTAGATGGAACTGCTGACTTGAATAGTTTTTGACCACTTTTCTTTTTTTGGTAAGTCTTCTGTAACTCATTTGGCTTGCTTAAATGACCTGCTCTTTATTTTCATGGCAAGAGTTTCTCTCATTTGGGAAATGTAAAAGGATAACATTCCTAGCCCAAGCAGAAGCAAAATGTAGCACTGCCATCTGGGCTGTGAAATTGGAATAAAGCTGAAAGCATTACCTCAATATATTGCCATGGCTAGAAGCCAGGTAGCAAATAATAAAAAGATGGTCTGGTAGTTGGCATGTTAGTCAGGATCTTGGGAGGCTGCACATGGTTGTTGTGCTGCAAACCTCCAAGATTGTGGGTGGGCTGGAAATTATTTCTCTCACCTAATACTGGATATGTAAATGTTATGTATCAGTCTGAGATGTTTCAGCTCAATCTGCTGTGAGTGGATAGGCATTTCCAGAGAGCACAGGGTCATTCCACATCCACTTAGCTCTACATTTGAGACTAGGATGAATCACTCTGTGAAGATACTTGGCTCTCTCTGCATGGGCTTCACAACAAGACAGTAGCTCACTGGCTTAGTCCAGGTACCTCACTTTCAGATGCCCGAGTTTCAGCAAATGAGCACTCTCTTCTTCTTATGCAGTTGCCTTTAGCTGAGGTCTAGTAATTCTTTCCTACCTCACAGGTACACACAGAGATTGAATGGTGCTACTGTGTTGTCACAAAAAAAAGCTATTACTGTGAAAAGGAAAAAATAACATTTTTCATATTCTAATTATCTAGATACACGCATATTTGAGACTGCCTCAGATTTTTGAAGACAGTGCCAAAAAGGAGAGATCTTAAGGAGAGAGACCTAGAGGCTTTTGCATCACTAGGAAATACGTAGCTGTTCAGTGGCAGTGTTCTGATGAACACATTGACGAGGCAAGCAAAGCTTAGGACTTGAGGATACCTGGCATGTGTAAGTCGTGCTCATTCATGGTGGCTGACTTTGTCTCCTTTTAGATTGTGATGGATTTCAAGCACCCTGATGGCCATACAGCAGCGGTTATGCTGCCCCGATGCAGTTTGTTGGTGATGACTGGAGAATCCAGATACCTGTGGACACATGGGTATGTGTAAGAGTCCCTGCACTGCTGAAAACAGAAGAATAATATATGTTGCTTGCTTGCTTTGTTAATGGCTTTCTGTATTTAAAATTGCTCTGAATGAAGTAAAGTCAAGTTTTATAGCTAATACACAAATTTACTCTTCTGCTCAGATGCTGCTCAGGTTAAACTGAAAAAAAAAAAAAGGGATTTTAGGAAGCTAATTGCTGGTCCCTGAGCTGCAGTTTCCTGCTGCTGTCACAAGTGAAGTTTCGTTCAGAAATCACTCTCACTTAACATCTGTGGTGTGAAAGTCCTCGGTGACTCTGAGCTGGCAGAGAACTGATTGCAGTGTGATTAGCTTCACCATTTCCTTTCTCTTTTTTCAACCCACAGCTTTTCCCATTGGATTGTATATGCCAAAGGCTTTAGAGAAGAGCTGCCTTAAGAGAGTGACTTCCCCTGCACAGAGAGCATGAGGGTGCCAAAGGGGAGTCTTCCTGAGCTCTTCCCAGCTGCTTTAGGGACAATTTAGCTACTGATAAGGCTGCATTGTACTGAACAGATCTGGGATCCTAGAGAAGAGATTTCTTGAAATATGTCTTGAGGCTTTGCTTATTGTAGAGTTTAAATACGTGCTTTTTGAATCATGCACTGCTGGGAGATACTTACAGTAGGAGCTCTGAAATTGGCAAAAAAACTAAAACCTTGGTGAGCTCAGAGAATGACAGTAGTGCACTTCAGGATAATAGGGAAACCCTCATGTTGGACAGAAGCACCCATGGTAAATATTCCTTCCTTTGACCCAGACTGTCACTGGTTACAGCAGTCAATTGGAAACACTATCTACAGTCTTTGTAAATTAAATATCAAATCCTTTTATTGTCAGAAGGTTTTCTGCCTTTTAATTTTATTGGTTAATTTGTATTATGAAGAAGGGTGAATATGAACTCCCAAATGACCTTTACATTGTTCATTTTTATGGAGTACTTATACCACCTGTATTTTCCCGCATTAAGTTAAATAGTTGTAAAAAGCAGCTGGTACTCCTGACATGTATCATTACAGAAGCTCAGGGCAGTGAAGGTTTGTTTTATGGTATACAAGACTGAACATGGATACCAGTGTTATAAACTGTCAGTCGTCTTTTGGAAAGGTTATCTACAACTCTTGAGAAAGTAGTGCAGTTCCCATGTCAGTGATGTTGCTGGCCAGGAGAGTGGGGGGCCAGTCCCTAACCCTGGGTGTCAGGCAGTTCCATGGGGCTGGGCTGAGGGCACAGTGGGGTGTCAGCCCAAGGGTCAAGGCCCAGATCTGTGCAGCAGTGGCCACAGACAGAGCTGGGATACATCCAGGGCTGTAGCAGGGGCAAGGCCAAATGGGACAGCCTCTGTTTAAAAGGAGCTCCCAGGGTAAGGAGGGGTGGCCCTTGCTGAGACTTCTGGCTGTCTTCATTATGCCTTTCTCCAAGGACTTCAGCTCTGCTGTACCTAAGCTGGTCCTGGGCAGTCAAACTCCCAGGAGGGGGAAGGATGGACAGAGGGCATTTGCAGTACTTGCCAGCAGGCATTCAGGTCGAGGTAGTGTACCTGCTTATTAGAAACTGGAATGAGATTATTATTTAACTGGCTTGTACCTTCAAATGATGGTTGTCTTTTGAGAACCAATGACATAAACTACCTTTAAAACAAAAATCCCAGATGTTTCTACTCCTGTATAAGTTATTCCTGTCCCAGTGCTTGTCCACCTTTCCTAAAAACAGTTTTTCTGCATATTTTTAAAAGCAGTTGTGGATCAAGATACTCAACTCAGTAAACTTTCCATCGTGCTAGTAGAGCATACTACTGTAATCAACAAGATTAATCATCCAGCGAGTAAGAGTAGTTAATTCACTTGCATACATAACATCAGGGTGTATTTAAGGTCATGTGTGATGCCTTCTATCTGCTCCTCAGAAGTCAAATTAGAGAGCAAAAGGTTCCATTTGGGAATTATCCTGGACATTTTTTCACTGTGTATATTTGGATGCCAAGGGAATTACAGACTTCATTTTGACACTGTTAACAAAGTGCACAGGAAAAGGATTTTTGTTCTATTCTGTCTTAAAGAGAAACAAATGGTTAGGGAATAAGGTATACAGTGTCATGAAGGAAAGCAAAAGGTATGTGCTCTTTTTGTCTTATAGATGAAAGCAAAATTACAGCTTTTCTGATGAGATTCATTTGTGATATTTTTTCTGATGAGGTTGGGTGACCTGGGAAAACACCATTCCTGACACTGCAATAGTGAAACAACCTTGTGCCAAGCAAGAGGATGTGCAGCATTTTAGTTTTGACATTGGGAGTCCTGGTTTTAGTCCTGCCTTTATCAGGAGTTCTTGCTTGCAGTATGGATAAAAGGAAATTATGTAGTTTGAAACTATAACCTTGAAGAAGAAGACATTTTTGAAAATACTGATTGCTATGCTTAGCTTATTGCTGCAGGTACAAAAGAAAATCAAATAGAAAATCTACAAACTCAGAATTTTAAGTTCTCCTGTGCCAGGAGTCTTTGGCATCCTCAACTGATTATTTCATCACAGCTCCATTATCTGCCATGAACAAGGCAGTTCCTTGTTAGATCCCATGCTTTCCATGGCTGCCTTTGGGAGACTGGTTACTATTTGCCGGGCTGCTCTATGTCTCCTTTTGGCAACATCTAGATGGAGCATCAATGTGCTACTCCTTAATTTCCAGACAGAAAGGACCTGCACTCTTCTTACCCTGTGACTGGGTTAGAGATGGGCTTCCCCATGGCAGGAAAGATGGCATAGAGCAAAGTATGGGAGCGCTGATTGCTGGCTGCCTTCTCAGCTTTCACATCGTTCTTCTTGGCTAGGTACTGCTGCTGGTCAACAGTTTCACATGACCTGCAAAAAGGTTCAAGGGGAATTTGAAATGAGACTGAACGCTCTGCTTTATTAAAAGATCTGAGACACTTTTTCCTCCCTTTTGGCTCAATCTGTGAGGGTTAAACTCAGCTAACCAATATGGAAGTCAGTTTTATACTGAGAGTTCGTCCTGCTGGCAGTCCGCAGCTCTGAAAGGGCTTCACCAAGAGGCCAATCCCTTAGAGATGTTTTTGTGGTGGTGGTTGGTTGGTGTTTTTTTTCTTTCTTGAGGAAATTTCTGCATTGATTTCCTTGATGACCAAGTTCAGGAAGCATTTCGGTGTGACAGTAACAGCTTTGAAGCTCTAAGCTGTTTCTCAAAAGAGTTTCCATTTTGTTCCAAGAGTATCTACTTTTCCCTTGTGCAAATGATGGGAAACTACATGTGAGTGCAGCTGTTTCTTTTCTCTCATGTTGTATTCCACATTTTACTCTCACATTTTCCTCTTCTCAACTTTGAGAGCAATCCATTTGTATAACTATTAAAAATTCTTGGGTTTCATACTTTTCTGTAATGTCAACCTCTTAAAATTTTTGAAACTTTTGTTTCCAAATCATTTGCACTTTATTGGTTTTGTCCTTGCGAAAATGTTGTGTTCCAGCTAGATCTGTACCAAATCCAGAAGTAGTTTAAGAAGCTCTGCTACTGGTTTGCTTGATTGATGGAGAGTTTTTGGTCAAGAAAGATCTACAGCAGAGTTTCTCCCTTTAGGCATTTTGGCAAATCTTCCAAGTGCTACATTCTTTGCATCTTCTGATGTCAATAAATGGAAAAGCAATTCTGTTGCAAAGCAGAACTCATTGGAGAGGCCCATTTGTAGCAAGGAACTTCAATCTGCTAATCTAAAACTCAGCCAATTCTATACTTCTATAGCCATATCCACCATTTTAATAGTGTACTTTAACAAATAAATTGTTATATATATAAAATATGTAAAAAATACATAGGGCAACAGTCCTAGAAAAATAAAAAATCAGCCTTTATGGAAGGAGAGGATGAGAGGGAAGGGTAATGTAATTTTTTGCAATTTAACACTTTAACATTATTAATTTGTGTCAGCTCCTCTTTTTTTCTTTATTAAATTGAATAATTTGAGAACTGAGAAGCAGGAGTATATTGAATAGCATGTTGTAATCACACTTGTCACCTAAGAATTGCCTTCTTATAAAGATGAATTGGTGTTTTTCTGATGCAAATTGAATTATGCTTTTAATTTTGTGTTGCTTTGTTTTAGGATTACACCCCGAAAATATGATGTCATTCAAGCATCTGAGCTTAGGAAAAAAGTTGGAGCAATCACTGCTGATGCTGGAGATTTAACGCTAAATCGAAGGGAAACAAGGACATCATTTACATTCAGGAAAGTGAGGAGAAACCCTTGCAATTGCAGTAAGTGTCTTGAGGTGATCTTCAAGTCAAAATTGTTATTGATCACCACTATGTAAGCGTGGGTTTTTTTTGAGCAAACCAGTTTATCCTTTTGGGTGGTTTTGGCAGTCCTGGTAGCCATTCCTGAATGGCTGAGGGTTAGGCATACTATAGGGCATGAACTGGTTGCATCCGTGTAGTTGCTGGACTTTCTTTTTACAGGAAGTTCTACTGCAGAGCCAGGCACATAATCTGGAATTTTGCATTTCATGGGGACCTCAAATGCCAGAAAAATGTAACAAAATAGAAGGTAGCTACTGTTCTTTAGGTTTCTGTCAGTTTTGCATATTTTTTTATTTGAAGGGGGGTGGTTTTGTGAAAGTAAGACCATGAGGGAAGGAGAAGCAGTCAGATCTGCAGGGATAAAGCCGTGTAAGTGCTGTAGGGCAATGCAGGTAATAATAGGTGGGTGGCTCAATGACTGCACGGAGTTGAAGTCCATTTGTGCCCTCAAAACAGAATTTCAGAGGCTGAATTGCAATGATGTCATGATCTTTGGTATTAGGGATGCTGTCTCAGTTTTGAAAACCTAAACCTTGTTACCAGGATGAGTGATCACTGCAGATAGCCTCGGGTGTACATGGGTAGGTTGCTTAAGGCCATCAAACATTTCTGCAGTTTGACCTGCACGTCGGTTTTTAAAAGGTAATGAAGCATTTCTTGCATTTTAATTTTAGTTTGCTAATTAAGTTTAACCAAAAAAGGAATTAGTTATACAAAAATAAGAATTTTTTTGTCTGTTGCTATGTCTAGTTTACCCATCTGTCTGTGACAGCCAGAAACGACAGCAGAGAGAGGTACAACCTGCATTTCCCCACAGCGAGGTGGAAGCCTCAAGGCTGGAGCAGGAATACGTGCACAAGGTGTATGAAGAGATCGCCACACACTTCAGCAGCACCAGGCACAGCCCATGGCCCCAGATTGTGGAGTTTCTCAGGTCCCTCCCAAAAGGGTCGATAGTGGCTGATGTTGGTTGTGGTAATGGGAAGTATCTAGGCATCAATGAGGATCTGTACATGGTAAGTAGCAGCTACTGTCATTTTTTGTCACTGGTGCTAGTGTTTATTCCATTGTGCAGTTCTAGCATGTTGGGAGTTTCAGCTGGGGGAAGCATGCCAACACAACACAACAGAAAGCTCTTTCCTGGTCCAAAATCAATTACCAGTTGTGTTGGGCTTCCACATCCATTCATTGTGTGTGCATTCCCCTCTTCTTTTTTCGAAGCCACTTTTGCTTTGCAAATCAAAAATGTTACCAAAAAAAAAAATCATGGGTGCAGTGGACTGAAAAAATGTAATGGATGCTTTAGCCTTTGTTGTTGTTGTTGAATAAGCTCATTAAAAGAGAAAATGATTGGGCAGTTTGAATGCTTCCAAAAAGTTTTTCACTTGACTAGTGGGTTGGGAATGCAGTGTACGTATCCCTGAGATCTCCATGGGCAGCACTACTTTTCATATATCCCCTTCAGTTCCCTTTGGCCTGGTGGTGTGGCTCGTTTGTGAATGATGTCACATCTGGCTGTCCCACCTTTGACTCTGCGCCTGTGCTCAGTAAATATGCCAACATAAAATTCATGGAGAAGTCTCAACTTCAGAGATTTCTGGCCTTTCTATCATTTCCTTTCCTTCACTTTCAGACAGTTCTGACATCATTCTTGCTGATGTTCTCATCAGCTTCTCTGTCTCACAGTCTGTACTTGGCCCAATTTTACTTTTTTGCCTTCCTATAGAGAGACATGAAGCACATACAAATGTGAACCAAGAGGTAGTTTTTATTGCAAATATTTCAAAGATGTTTTTGCAAGGGTCAAACTTGCTGTTGTTTTTACTCAAATCTTTCTGAGAGGTGTGCATTATGGTATCTGTTCTTCCCTGTTCCGGAACTGGCTGGTTCTTTCACGTGCTTGTACTATGAAACACTTTGACATCCATCAGGCTTGAAAATTCTATGTAAGGCAAAACATTCATTATTAATAATAAAAGTCAGATGTGTTTGTTTCAGGAGTTTCTATCCTGCTATTTATATTCGGCTATAAAACATCAGTTGTTATTTACAGCCTTGTCTGTATTAGTAATGGATTTATTTCTCTTACTGTTCTTATAAGCTAGAACAAAGTCAACTGATTTATAAGTAGGCCTGTTTATGCCTGACTGCTGTAGTCTGAAAATGATTATTAATGTTCAGTGCATTTCAGTCTTTCACTTCTGACTCCTGTAAGAAAAATGGAGTCAAGTGTGCAGGGTTACAGAATGTGCTTCATATGTAAGATGCATCATTGGGATAAAGGAAGAGCTCTCTAGATGCAGGGTGTCAGTTTTGTCCCTCATTTATTCCTCTTGACTTGGCAACATAAAATCCAGGCAGACACCTAATATGCTGCAGCCTTCCTTTCACAGCAACAGCTGGGGCCCTTGGTAAGTTTCTGTGGACAGTGCACTGGCGCTCTTAGCCTAGGTCATAGAGTCATAGAATGGTTTGGATTGGAAGTGACTTTAAAAATCATCTAGTTCAACCCCCCCTGCCTTGGGAGCAGGGGTATGTAACCCTAGACCAGGTTGTTCAAAGCCCCAAGAACTTCCTTACATCTGATCTAAATCTACTCTCTTTCAGTTTAAAGCCATTACCTTTTGTCCTATCTCTGTATGCCCTTGTAATAAGTCCCACTCCAGCTTTCTTGCAGGACACCTTTAAGTGCTGGAAGGCTGCTCTAAGGTTTCCCCAGAACCTCCTCTTTTCAGGCTGAACAAACCCAGCTCTCTCAGCCTGTCTTCACAGGGGAGGTGCTTCAGCCCCCTGATAATTTCTGTGGCCCTCCTCAGGACCTGCTCCAACAAGTCCACATCTGTCTTATGTTGGGGGCCCCAGAGCTAGATGTATTACTCCAGATGAGATTTCACTAGAGTAGAGTAGAAGGGGAGAATCAGCTCCCTTGATCTGCTGGCCATGGTTCTTTTGATGCAGCCCAGGATACAGTTGGCAAATGTCCTGTTGGGATGGAAGTAATAAAGCAGTGCTATGAAATTGGGAGTTAGAGATTGGGTAGAGCACTGTTAGTCAGGCTGCGTGGCTTGGAGTGTTTTGACTCACAAATACTGGAAACCTGATGCAAGATGCAAGCACTTTCTGAAGGCAAGAGATGTGCTCTAAAGTTCAGTGTACATTTTTAGACAAGATACTTTAGATAGCAATGCTAATGATAGATCAAAGCTGAGAACTCTTTTGATGGTTTTAATCTTCAGGCACTGTCTGAAAACATCTCCACTGTGGCCTGTGCTATTGTGTCTGGTTCATTTTCTTTGGGTGATTACATCTAGCATTATCTCCTTGAGTATCTGTGTGACAGCAAAATGCACAAGTCCAGCTACGCTCAGCCAAAATGACAGCACGGTAATGGCTGTATTAATCTGACATGGTGAAAGAGCAGCAATTTTGTGACAAACAGGTTCAGATTGAGAATGTTGGAGGGAAAGGTGGAATCCAAGCCTGATGTAGTTGGAACAAAGACTGGAGAAAGAAAAGACTGGAAAAAGATTGAAATCAAGTTCCAGATTACTTGCTGTCTTGCCCAGCTTTTTTCTTGTTTGAATGAATGCAAATGAGAGAAATGGTTTTAGGTGTGTTTTTGTTTTTCCCCCACCCCCCCACACACACACAATTCCCTCCTCACCCAACCTCATTTTTGGGAATTATTTTACCAATTTATATTTAAGTGCTTTCAAGCCTAATATTCTTATCTGTAAGCAGGGTTTTTATTTTTACAGAATGCTATGTTTCAGCCTTAGTCATCCTACCCACAAGAGTTGCATTCCAGAAACATCATTGCAAAGTATCTTATCAATTTTTGAGTCTGTCTCCTAGTTTCCAGTGTTCAGGTAGGTGTGGTGATGTGTAAATCCCCACAGAAATGTGAAGCATCTGCACGTGGCTAGGGTGTGAGTGAAAGACATTGAAGGCTGTCATTTTTGTGGTTTACATTTTTAATTGGACTGATAAACTGATGGGAAATCCAGTTACCAACTGAAAATGCCATTGGATTAGTTATATTTTCTTTATGTATAGAAATTACTCTCCTTGCCAGGATACTAATGTTAGGAAGAAAAATGCTGTTGATGCAGGAGCCCAAAGGGTTTGCTTTAATACAGCCATTCCTTTTTCTGTAGTGTGTGTCATACACAGGTAACCGGTAGCCTAGCTTGTACTTCACATGCCCTGGTAAGACAGCTCTTCGCTGCAAGATGTGTGCCTCTGTTTTCTCCATTGCTGTCCCAAACTGGGATCCACTGGAACTGTATGGAAGTTTGATTTTGCCAGGGTGGAGGAAAGGGAATATTTGCTGCAGTATGGTTTCGTAATGGTAGGTGGGTTTTAGTTGCATTGAGTCCATATTGACTGAGAACAGATTCCTATTTAAAGGACTTAGTGGTGGGTAAAAGCAAGAAGGACAAAACTAATTGGTAAATGTATACCTGGAGCAAGTTCACTGTATTGTAACAATTGGAGGGCAGGGAGGAACCTTTCCTGCCCTTTTCTCTCAGTGAATAGGAGTCATTAACATGATCTGGGAGGAGAGCTCAGAAGGCACAGGGCAACAGCAGCACAAAACTAGAATGAACACTGAAGTGCTCAACTTGGCTCTGACACTTTGTCATTGAGAAATGAACTTCACGTTTTAGATGTAGCTCTTTGTTTCCACAGACACTCTGAGTGTACGCAGTGGAAAACCAAAGCACTACCTGGAGGAAATGCTGAAGGCCTGACTCAGACTGGCTGGAGCAAGATTCGTCTGTCTTGCTGTGGCTGTGCTGGTGTCTCTTTTCCTACGTGTGTGCGCGTGTTTACTGGAACATAATTTGCTTCCTTGAGGCTCTCATGCCATTAGTTATAGCTGAGGTATTTCTTCAAGGAGGCACATAATTCCATTTGGATTTGAGAATTAGATGTTGTTTTCTTCATCAGTTTCTAATGTGCTGAATCAATCAGGTTTCCAGATACTTAAATGAACTAATTCTACTAGGTAGGTAGTTGTAAGGAGATAATGTAGAAAGAAAATACATAATGGTGGACAACATGGACCTGTCTTCACCTGTCTTTATTTAAGCTTGCAAGAGGGTTTATCTCTTGCAGATTTGCAGCACCATTACAAAGAAAGCTATTTATGTAGCATCTTTTGTCCCCTAATGATCTCCTCCAAAACTGCATTAAATGGATTTTATAAAACTTAGTTTGTCTACTCCTGGCTGAAATGGTGGAAGTGAAGGTGCCTGGGAACAGGAGAGGAGTAGTGGGATAGCTGCATCTGATATGCTGTTCCCAGGAAGCCATTATAGAGCTGCTGCAAACTCAGGTGTTACATTTCTTCCTTCCTTCCCTTACCCTCTTGGACCTTAGCCTTTTTTTGATAAAGGTTTGGGTTACCCAGTATGCCCTAAAGAGAGGGTGCTGTATGACAGAAGGATGACGTGCATTTGCCTCATGTAAGTTTTGTGTTTGCTGGGGTTCCAGCAGCAGAGTTAGAGGCTTCCATACCAATACAGATTTCCTGGCTTAAAACAAGAGTTAGATGCAGTTAGTGTTTATCCAGATACAATGAAAATCAGTGCCTGAGATTCCTGTTAAAAATGTAAGTGGACCTCCAGCACATAGTTACCATTGGCCACTCTGACTCCTGTGAACCACTGTCCACATCACAAAAAGACGCAAGGAGGGGTGGAGGTACCTGCCAAAAGGGCAGGGGTGTGAGAATGGCTGCCTGGAGTAAATGCTGAGAAACCTGAGGGGCCAGCCTCCTCTGGGGGAATACTGAACGGCCTGGAGCAGCTTGCTGAGAAGTGGGCTCACCAAGGGGTGCATTCAGCTGTGTATAGTCAGCGTGCTGTTTGGGATACATAGGAGAAACTGTGCGGTTAGGAAGAGTTGAGTTTAGGGTCTCTGCCCCTTGCTGTAAATATTTTCTATACTCACAAAAATCAAAGATGGGCTCATTTTCCAGCTGTAAGCTGGCATTGCACCACTGAAGTTAGCTGCTTTTTGATAGCTTATTGTTTTCTAAGCGACGGAAAACAATGTATTTTGGTTTTTTGATAAACAGACATTTCTTGTAAGCTAGCAAATGCAGGAATGTGGTGATTATGATGCTTTAAAAGTACCGTGCAGAGATAATTCTAGTAAGGATGTGAAATTTGCTTAGCTTGCGCACCAGGCATATCTGTGATGACTCCCTGTATTCAGCATTTATACATAGCACCTATTATGATGCTCACATTTACAACCATGTAAAGTTTTAGCCTAATATACCTATTCTAGAGCAGCTGTACATTCAAAGTGATCACTCTCAAGGTCTCTATTTAAATTGGGAAACAGAGTCTGGTTTGAATGTAGATTCACTTTAAGTGTGACGATACAAGTAAGCTTGGCTTCGTAATTATTTGATATAATTTAGATGCAAATGAGGACTTCACATTCTGGCAGTTATGCCTTTGTTCTCATTTGCAGTTCACTGGATTTCATCAACATCCAGTGTAGTCCTTTCTAAGGTCTTTTTTGCAGGGGGGGATTGAGTTCTGTTATCCAGCCTGTTTTTACTATTGATGCGTGGAGCCAAAGCGATTCTCTCTGGGGAAAGCTTGTTGTCAATGGAAGTTGCAAATACTTTTCTCCCTCCTTCTGCCAGCAGTGAATTTGTTCCTTTGAGTTTTATTAAATACTGCATGCTAATGTCTTAATTGCAAAAAGTAGTTGAAGGCACTGGTAATGAGGTGTGGAATCTTTAACATGCAGGTTGTCAGCAAAATCCATTCCATGATGAGAGTAATTTAAAGACTCTTCAGTTGGCTTCCAGTGTGAAATGATGGGGATTTATGTTTACTTGCAAGTAAACAAGAGTTTCCTTTTTTTATTCATAAATAACACTATTCACTCAGTGCTTCAGTAAACGCAGAGATGAGGCCAAGAAATAAATAGGAAGAAGGCAATGCAAGGATTGATCTTTTCAGGACTGTTTAGAGCTAATTGACGTGAAAATATGTATGTATTCATAGTATTGGTTTTGTAGAGGATTATATTGGGTTGTCAGGGTGGCATTTTTACAGCCATTTAATTTACTTTGGACCGAAAGTCAGGGGCCTGACAAGAAAGCATCTCACCTGAAAGCTTTCAGAACATATAACTGGAACAGAATCCTGGTTTTCTCCAGAACTGTAGTGGTAGACTGAAAGCTAAAATGATTTGAACAAATAAAATGAAAATTTATGATGGCAAATAAATATATTTTCATTAATCATTACAAAAGAGATTTTTAATTTTAGCAGTAGTATTGTCTCTGCTGTGTTGATTAACCAGAGCAAGTTGTTTGCTGTTCTTCTTGCATCAAGTATGGTTTAGTATTCTTTTCTGTGTCAAATGCAATAAATATTGTCAGCAGTAATTACTTAGGATTCTGAATCTGTTCCCTGCTATCTCCTTGCTGCCGATCATTGAAAACAAAAATAAATTTAATATTCTTATGCAAGCCAAGTTTGATGTATGACTCGCTAGCAGGGCTGTGGTTTGAGCATTCAACGTGCGTGACAGGCATGAAAATGAGGGTGGTGCATGTCTCGCTCGGCTTGTTCTTGCGGAAGGGTCTTGATCCATTTGGATTTATTTGTTTTATGCAAGCACATAAACTTCTTACGGATTATTTTTCTTGCTGTCTTTGTCTTGGACACTGGGCAAGGTTCAAAGAGGATAAAAAAGACATTTATTAATGAGATGTCCTGAAATGGTTCCTAAGGGGCACTTCGTTTGGACAGTACAGAACCTTGGAAAATAATGTTGTGCTTAAATTTTTGTGGATTATGATACTGGGGGCAAAGGGAACTGTACCTGAGCACTTCCTTACTTAAACTGAAATGATGAGACCTGGGAGATGAGTGAAGCTGTGTGACATATTTCAGTATGGCCACCAAAGTCACCAGGCTGCACTTTACACTTGCAGATTCAGCTTTGGTTGAGTTCAGTATTTGTCTGCTTCAAGTGTTGTGAGGTTACAAGTGGCAGTCAAAGGAAAAGAAAGCACTGAGGTTAGGTCACTTCTTGTTTTGCCAGTTTCAGGGTACCTTATGAGCCAGTTTTGAGGAAATGTTGGGTTGAAACCTGCTCTGTCTTAAGCTGGTTCAAAGTCAGGGTGCTATAATAAGCTGTCTAATATCCAGTCAGCCATCTTTGTTTTAAGTAAGTGTCAGGAGTTGTTTTTTTTTTAGTTTTTATCTATACTTAGGTACCATATATTCCTTTAACTTAAGGCTGCTTCCTCACACTTGTTTTTATTTTAAACTAAAATGTGTTGCTTCAGTGGGAGACTGATGGGGTTATTACTGTAAGCACCAAGTGAAAACCATTTTCCAGTGTTGTAAGTCTCTTCTTATGAAAAGCACAATGAAAGGCGTTGTGTTCCAGGTGGGCTGTGATCGCAGCAAATCCCTGGTGGGTATCTGTGGGGAGAAGGATTTGGAGGCGTTGGTCTGCGACGCGCTGTCGGTGCCGGTGCGCAGCGGCTCCTGCGACGCCCGCCTCTCCATCGCCCTCATCCACCATCTCTCTACAGCGGTAAGTGCCCCCTCCCTGCCCTGCAGAGCTGCTGGCCCCACAGGAAGCTGCCCGTTTGGGCTCACGTAGAGAAGAACAAAACTGGGAGAGACCAAAGGCCTACGTTTGGTGTGAGCAGTTGTCAGAGTGCAGTTAAGCTGTCCTGCTGCTGTTTGTCAGATGCCCTTGCTCTTCCTGACACTTTGATCTAGGTGTTTCATTTTCATCTGCTTACAGTTAATGGCACTGGAGAAGGGGGTTCTGCTTTGGGAGTCAAGAGATGTTATTTCCCAGCAAAAGTCTTGAGTAGATCTCATGGGTTGCTGGTTTGTTTTTTTTTTTTTTTTTTTTTCCCTGTCTCTGTGCCTTCATTGTCCATCTGTAAATGACAGGAACACTACTCACTACTTGCCCAGGTGGTGTAATCTTCTCCTGGCAGGAACTCTGTGATTGTAAAAAGCTTCTAGACCAAGCAGCTGTAATCTTAGGTGGAGCCCACTGGTCTCTCCATACCAGACGTACAGCTGGTGTTTCCAAACCCAAGACAAAAACAGTAGGAAGAAGTCTGTTTTGGAGAAGGCTGCCATATCTTTGGGTTATCAGAAGACCTCTTAAGTGATAAATCTGACACCTTTGGGTGCAGACTTAGGTTGTGTATCATGGTATGGTAGATTTGAGTCTGGGATGCTGAGCACCCTTCTTGAAGAGGAATGTGTCATTTCCAGCTGGGCTGTTATGTCCGAGAAATCCTGCTCAGCACAACACTATTTCCAAATGGAAAGAGAATCATACAATTATTTAGGTTGGTAAAGACCTTTAAGGCTATCAAGTCTAACCTCTAACACAGCATTGCCAAGCCCACCATTAAACTATGTCCCTAAGCACCACGTCTACATGTCTTTTAAATACCTCCAGGGATGGTGATTCCACCACTTCCCTGGGCAGGCTGTTCCAGCGCTTGACAACCCTTTCAGGGAAGAAATTGTGTTTTGGTGACGTTTGTCTTAGCTTGCACATAGTGAATGACTACATTATGAATGCAAATGCACAGTGGAAAAAAAATTCCTCTGATTTTTATTGTATCTTGGGACAGGATGGGAAGGAGGAGTTGCTGCCATTCCGTTCTCCTGTCTTCTTTAGCTTCACACTTTTGCTTTTCCTTTATAGGAAAGGAGACTGGCTGCCCTCCGTGAGCTGGCCCGGCTTCTGAGACCTGGTGGAACAGCACTCATTTATGTCTGGGCAATGGAACAAGAATACAAAAACCAGAAGTCTAAATACCTTAAGGAAAAGAATGGTAGTAAAGGCAAAGCAGAGGAAATCGATACTGACACAGCCCAGAGACCACTTTGTGGTGAAATGCCTGATAGCAGCAGCCCAGACTCACCATGTTCTGACCAACTCCTTAATGACTGGAAGGATGAAGGCTGTGGTGCAAAGCCAGTGGCAGACTCTAGACTGCCTGTTCACACTAACCGAACCTCCTTTCACTCTCAGGATTTGCTGGTTCCCTGGCACCTGAAAAGTGGCACTAAAAAAAAAGGGGAAGGTGTTGGTACAGTGTTGTTTCCAGATGGCTCCAAGGAATCCAAAGAACTCAGCCCCATTTTCCACCGTTATTACCATGTCTTCTGTGAAGGGGAACTGGAGGCATTGTGCAGATCCCTGGATTGTGTGAGGGTTCAGAAGAGTTACTATGATCAGGGAAACTGGTGTGTGGTTCTGGAGAAATTGTAGCCTGTGTTGCTTCCTCTACTATCTGTGTTTTTTTTTTCTACAGTGTGAAAGGTATTTTTAATGCAAGCGACTGCCATTGCCTCTCTTAAAATAGCAGAATAAAGAATGAGTCAATAACAGTAACCAGCACTGTGTGCTTATTAACAAAGTAACAGCCAAACTCAGGTAATATCTCTGCAGGGGGGTTATTTTACACAGTGAAGAGGATTAAGTAGAGAAGTACTGGCTGTGGAAATGAGTAAGGCCAATGTTGAACTTCTAAAAGACCAAGGGCCTGGTCTTCCTTCTCACACCAGTTTATGCTGGTATAGCTGTAGTGGCTTCCTGGCAGCCCACAGCTAATTGAGCTCTGGGCAGGGAAGGTAAAGCTGTGTGCAGTAGAAAACTGAGTTGAGAAGGAGGGCATGAGTGGCATGTGAAACAGTTTAGCTGAAGAGTCAAAATGTTGCCTGAAGTTCAGTCCTGCTTTTTTTTTTGATGTCTGTCAGGGGTCACAGATCTCTTTCTGCTTGGAATTTACTCTCCATTGTTGTAATAATGTTTTCCTCCAGGGGAACTGGAAAGCCAGTGGGGATACCACAGCCCTATGCTTGACCCTCAAGCATCTACAGTTCATGCTGTCACTCCCTGGATTTCTCTATCTCTTCATTCTAGTGTTGTTCAAAAGGTGAATGCCTGCCTTCCTGTGAGTACAGGGCTCTGTGCCTGTAGCACCAGGACTTGTGGGGTGAGGTGAAGCTCAGATGCCCCTGTGGTGGTGGGGGAGGGAATCAACAACAAAAACCAGCAGGAAAAACACTGAAGGTCATATTGGTGCAAATTTTCTGCAGGGTATTGTCAACCTCTAAATGTTGCCATTGTTACAGGTTTTATTTATTGTACTCCCAAATAAGAACTAGAGTAGAGGGGAAGTGGTGCTGGGCTGCCTGACTCACAGGAGTTATCACTGCCGTTGCCGGCAGGGACTGGCATAATTTATTTATACACAGCTCTTGTGCTATCAAAGGAGCTGCTGCCTGCAATGTGTTTCCAGAACTCAAATAAAATGGATTGGCTTTTGCAGGGTGAGTGGCTGTTGGCTTCTGGAAAGCAGTACTGCCAGACCATGCCCTCATTGCTCTTTTCAGTGGTTCATCACCTGTAGCTGTAGCAAGATCTGTGGTATAGGCAGGTCACTGCTGCCCTGACTAATGGCATCTAAACCAGGGTGCCCATCTTGAATAGTGTGGGGACTTGGAGGAGAGCTGTGTGCTCTTGGCCTACTCCTGCCTGTCTCAGACTTGCAGGTTAAAGGCTGCTGTGCTGGCAGCTTGCTCGCCTAGGATCTGCCATTTTTCCCCATCATGTAATGGAGAAAATCTGAGGGGAATGATGGTGGTAAGAAAGGATCTTGCTGCCACCACATTGCATCTGGTCTGTGGCTTGCTGTCTGCTTCCAAAGAGTCCTGGGGAAGAAGATCTCATTCCTCAGCTGTACATGTTGTCCATGTAGCAGCAGCCCTGCCCTAGCTGATTTCTGTGCTTTGAGCCACATGGAGGCGTGTCCATGGCAGACGAGTCTTCTTGGGCATATTCAGCAGTTGGTTTGCACACATTCAGTAAAATGCCATGTAGCTGGGAAGCATTGGGCTTCCTGTACATGTGCGTTTTGTCTCGAGGTATTGTGGCAGGTGGCTAGCTTATGCAGGAGGAGCCTTCCTTTCTCCTTGATAACATCTGTGGTCAGACTGTTGGGCATTGCTAATCCAGACCCAGTGATGTGAGCAGGCCCTGCTGCCAGGGGAGATGTGGTGCTGGAAAGTGGAGAACTAACAGTGACTGTTGATTGTGCAACTCGCTGAACAGTGCTCTGGGTGTGCAGGCACCTGGGGGAAGACACTTGTCACTCCAAGCCTTCACTGAAGCAAGGAAGTCCAAGATGGGAAGCAAAGCATGAAGTAAACTGGTTGATGGCACAGGCAGAGATGGGCACGTGATCCGCTCCCTGACTTCATTGCAGGACCAAGCTCCCCCTCTAACGTTAAAGCATTTACAGCATAGCAAGCTCTTCATTTCCCACCTCCAGCCAAGTGCCTCCTCCCTCCCTTGCCCAGCGTGGGGCTTCCCCACAGTGTGGAGTGTGAGGGGCTGATGGTGGCTCTCGCACTCGGTAGGGAGGCTCCCAGGCGTTAGTGTGGCTTGCGGGCAGCGGTCGCTTGTGCGTGATACTCAGTAGGCCCGGTACCTGTTCTCTGGTTTTTCTTCCTCCTTTGCCCCACGTCTGTCTCTTACCAATCACTGGATTTTGGTGTTTCCCATTTTCCTTCTCTCCCTTTGGCCTGGAGGGGAACCTGCTTGCCCTTGCTGCTGCTCACAGCTGCCGTGCCGTGGGGCAGAGAGCAGCTCTGGGAGGGCACGTGGGAGGGTGCTGTGCTGGTAGTTACCCTCAGCAAACAGCAACACCAACTAACGCATTTCCAAGCTAATAAAACTTCAGGAGGCAAATCAGCTGTGAGACTTGGGTGATTATTTTACTTCTGTGTGGCATTACATGCTGCTGAGAAGCCTGCCTACCAGCTGTTAAGACCGTGTTGTGTTTTGGAGGGGTGCCTCAGTGTGCGTTCTCCCCTTTGGGACCTTCCCAGGCGGCTGCATTTCCCACCGAGGACTGGCTTTCAGAAGGGCCCTGCATGACACAGTTGTGCATCGAGGCCCCTGAGCTGGGCTCAGTGCTGGGGTGCTGCGTTTGGGTGCAGCAGCACACTCCGCTCCCAGGTGGGCTGTGGGACCAGAGCTAGCCCAGATGCCTCCCCTGCAACGTGCCACAGCATCGGAGGGCAGGGACAGCCTCTGACTGGTGTCTCTGCAGTGACTAACTCACTAGATTGGGCTGCCTGTTCTTTCTGATTACTGTGGGTTGCATTCATGTAGAAGAAGGCAGGAGGACCACATCTCTTACCCTCCATCTGCACGGCCTTGAGTTTGCGGGTGCCTGGATTCCTGC